TAAACTAACACAACTGCCCTAAGTGAAATAATATCAATATAGAAAACACAAATGCATTTTGATCTAGAGTGAAAATCTAGAGTAGATTTAAAGCAATAAACTAAAGTATTGGTTAAATTGGATGAATCACATCTCAGAGAAAAGGCTGAAGAAACAACAGCGAACGACAGACAATATGGCAAAGTACACGTCGACAATCTGAATAAATTAACAGATATCAATACGACACATTAGTAAGAAATTATAGTCAAATATTTTTCTTCAGAACAATTCAACAATATCAAAAAGATTAATTATATTAACCTTTATCTTAGTGTTAATTGAAAACTGCGAAGAGACTCAGGTGAGTGTCAAGGCCCCGTGGTCTGTTTTTAAACGGGTCATTTTCAATATTTTGGTTATCTTTCCTATAGAGGAAATTTAGTTGGTAGATTTTGCTTTAACTATGTTCTGTCTAAATTGCTTCTAGTTAACTAGAAAAAAAAGTTTGAATTTCTAGATGTAATCGCATAAAATGGCGATCTACATTAAATCTACTTGTACCTAATTATTGAATTAACGACAGATGACCGTAGCTTTACATCCCTTAATTAATATACTACTGTCTTGAGAGCACTAAAAATATACAGAAGAAAAATGAGTTTCCAAACTGCATGACTTTTATGCTTAATTCATTATTCTACACACTTTTTGGATAATTTCGTTATAGAAAATATATGGTTCGTAACCGACTTACGGGGGAGTTTGTGTTTAGACGTATTATATAGCAACCTGCCCCTATCTGCATGATGCAAATATTATATTTTTGTTATAATGGAATCCCTCCTTTAAAACATCTAGTCTCATCTTTTTTTAATAGAACAAGATCTTTTTTCTTCTCCAAAAGGAAATCTTATAGAAAATGCATCTATAGCTGTTTTATTTTATTTTTTTTTTAAATATCTCGATTCCCCTGCATGTCGTCTCTCTCTAGTCATGTCTGGACTTCTTTTTGATTTTTTTTTTTTTTTTTTTTTTTTTTTTTGGCGATTGTTGTTTATTTTCATGACCACAAACTTCAAGTAAGTGTTTGCTTTCGTGGGTCGAGAGTCAATGAAAATCATGCGCGCGAGAGTAATAATTTATATGTGTGGGTAAAGCATCATAGTCAAACACTTATAAAATGGCTGCCTCTTGAAAATCGGCAACCGCCGACCACTTAAGGCACAAGGTCTAGTGAGAGGGATAAACAAGTTTTACTTAGTTTTGTACTTTAAATATAACTTTTATTCCGTTTTAAAGATTTAGACCTTAATTTCTTCGGTAATTGTTTTATCGAGTTAACAAAAATAAATAAATATATACATAAATAAATTAATAAATTAATTAAGATGAAATGACAGCTTGTTTATTTTTGGTATTGTAAAATAAACCAATGTACATGAATTAGCAATTCTTTTGTAAATTTTATTTAATCGTTTTTGTCAAATTTCGAAATATTGTATATTAAATTATGAAAAACAGTACAGAACGTTCAACTGTCTATGACAGTGTATATTATCCAGTTCTTACTCTTACGATATAGGAAAAATCATATAAAGGGTGACAGTTAGGATGTCATTCAATTTTTATTTATAATGTAGTATTATTATTTTATCTTATATGAATGTCATTCAATTTTTTTTAATGTAGCATTATTAAAGGACTTATCGCATGATTTCTCAGAAATCTTAATTTTATGAAAAATATTATCTACAACCTTGTTTATTAAAATTCTGAATACAATAAACGCGTTGTTGAAAGCGTATTTTAAGAGATATTGAGAGTTGAAATTCAAATACGGCAATATGCATATTTCAGTCGGATTTCGGCGAATTACTGCTCTGACGTCATAGGCGACAATTCAGTGATAGAGAGATGAGAAGTTACACACTATTTACGGAGTTATCAACGACAAATGCAGCTTATTATGAAAAAATGCTGATAAAATTAATTCCTAATGTGATTTTCAATTACTATAGAAACATTAACTAGTTCTAAGGTGTAAGAATTTTGAGATATTTTCGTTTTTTATTCGAAACATTTAGAATCTGTAGGTCTGATTACGGCAATGTTTCGTGATCGGAAAATTATTTTTCAAGACCGCCATCCTTTACAAAACATATGAAGGCATACTTGCATAAATTAATATTATGTTAAAAACGAAGAATAACAAAATTATGTAATTTGAATTTGTGAATCAAATAAGTTCATACAAGTGATAAAATGACAAATTATCAAATTGTATTGTTATGGCGAGTTTCTTCGTCTTCGCCGCGTCTCTCTCGCTATCGTCGCTGCTATTTTTACAATGTTAACGGATTTTTCAGATTATTTCTTGCTGACATTTCCAAAATATAAGGTTGGATATTAAAAATCATATCTATAAAATCAGTGATTTGGTCCTCCATAACGCAGAAAATTCAGGTTGTATCGCTATATTTTAGTAAGATTTATTTTATATGAATGTAGCAGTTACCCGATATAGCTATGGTGCCGTTTATTTCGTGCTCCAACACTATTTAAGTTGAATAAAAAAATATATAATATCATTGACGTACAATATATATAAAAACCTTTTAATAAGAGGGTGTTCCAAAAATAAACATCCATGTATTTTTATATAATATGAAACTGACAGCTTCAACATTTTTAGACAATGACCTTTGTAGCCGAGATTTGATTATCAGGCAGATACGATGTTATATAATATTGAGGGAGAATGCTGGGTAATGAATAATCGTCTGAAAAATGCAGTAGGGCTACAGTGCGTAATGCAACTTTGGTGAAAGTAAGAAGGCTATAGATTTGTGTATTTAATAAATAAGTTAAAGAATCTAACTTCATTAAAGACAAATGGCATTCGAGTATTAATAGACCAAATTCATGCAGTCTGAGAGGAAAAAACAGAGGAGGAAGTCCCAAAAGTGTGCGGGGGAAATACCGCAGAAGTCAGTATTTATTAGTCCCCTACCGGTGAAACCGGAGGGGACTATAGGTTTCCTCTGAGTCTGTCCATCCGTCCGTCCGTCCGTCTGTCTGTCTGTCTGTCTGTCCCTCTGTCTGTCTGTCAGTCTGTCCCACTTGGTTTTCCGCACTTTTTTCCTAAACGCTTGCAGATATTGAGCTGATTTTTGGTATGTGAGTGTATCTTGATGAGTTACAGATCAAGTTTGCATTTCGTTCCGCTTCATTGATTTTTGACGGAATTACGGCCTTTTCAATTTTTACGGGTTTTCCGCAATTTTCTTCTAAACGCTCGTAGATATTGAGCTGATTTTTGGTATGTGGCTTTACCTTGATTAGTTATAGATCAAGTTTGCATTTCATCCCGCTTCATTAATTTTTGATGGAATTATGGCATTTTCAATTCTTAACGGGAACCAGATTACACTTGCCGGTAGGGGACTAGTATTGCTAATGCAATACTCTCAGAATGCTTGTTGAATTCTGAAATTTGGTATGATACATGTATTTTGAAGCTATACAATTTTTTGATACAGGACTAAGAAAATCGATTCTGGTAGTCGACTGACGTTCGCGCATTCAGTAAAACTGTTATCTTCAATGCGGTAAAAGAATGATTCCTGTCTCACAGATCATTTGAAAAAAATAATTTTAATCTGCAGCTATAAAGATTTACAAATTTTGACAATAATGTCTTGAATGTCTTGAATGTCTGATTCAGATCGAAACTCACTTAGAATTTGTTTTCTGGATTGATTTTTTTTTTTGGCTAGCTGTGTAAATTAGTAATATATATGAAACTTTAACCAATTTTATGTAATAAAAGATTTTGTTTACATAATTGAAAGTGTCGTTACCAATATCTTGTAATTTTGAATACTTATTGTATATATAGTCATTGCGAAAAATAGTGTTTTCCAAATGGAAATTATAAGATAATTATACATTCCAAATATCCTGGGGAAAAGTTAAAAATATATAACTATTTCGATCAAGAGACACAAATAACATATTATTTAGGAACCTATATACATGTGAACGCCCCTGACTATGTCTATGGGTATATGCATGTAATTACTATAAAAACTTACAGGAAATGGAAAAACCTAGTGGTAATACTGTATACGAAGAATACTTGATGTTTTTATATTTGCTCTTGAAAACGCTTAAACAGTATCTATAAATGATTTGAAAAAGCTTCGTTCTTTTTTAACTATTTAAGTGCCCACAAATTACAGATAGATGTTAATTGGCAGATATTGTAATTATTCCACGGGATAAAAGATTGTATTAATGTCAAACTGTTGTTAAAGATGAACATTTTTTTTTTATTTTGACGTGAAGTACACTTTTTAACAATACATGAAATCTTAATCCAGCAGATGCTAAATCAACAAGAAATATTTGTAACTTCATACATGATGCATTTATATACTGTATGAATGACTTGCGCCACATGTAAATGTGGTTTTACTGAGTCAATAAATATATAAGTAGACAAATAAATAAATAAATAACTATAATATTATATTTTCGTTTGTAAGCATAACAATGAAAATGATTACATAAATAATCATAGACAATAATTAAATGGACAAGATTCTTATTTTTTGTAAGTAAAAATGTAAGATATATATCAGTGGCCCTTTTCACAAAAAAATCTTACGAATAAGACAAAAATTGCACATTCCTCAAGTATCTAAGCTGTACTGAGTAGGACACACACAAAAAATCTTATATTGTAAATTACCTTTGATAGCAAAGAAAAAATATTTTTCAGAAAAAAAATATATTCATTCAACAAGAAAAAGGACAGAGTTGTTAATTTTTTATCTTAATCGTATCAAAGATTTTTTTGTGAAAAGGGCCACCGTATTGTGCGATCTTGGTAATTTATCTCGGAATTATGAATGTTTATCGTAACAATAAAACATTTAGAACCAGTAATCTAAATCTAACACGCGTTTGAAAAAAACAGAGTAAATAACGTGCCATTTTTAATGTTGAATGACATTGAATATCTTATTTCAACGTGCAATACCCAAATTTAATGATTGTGACATATTTTTTCTCCCCATTTTTTGTTTAAAAGAGGTAGGTTATGGGCCTGAGATTGGGTTATACATGCTGTACATTGTGAAGAAGACCCTGTAGATTTATAATACCAGACTGTGCCGTACACCACATGTTACAATTAGTTTTGTATACCACCTAAATCAATCTTTGACAGGTGGAGAGACTGGCAGGTGTGTTGACGTAGCATATAATCTCATCGAGATTCACCGAGACTCTAAATTTTTTACTGACGTCCCTTCTGAAGATTCGGAGAGGCGTCAGTACAAAATTTTTAGTCTCGACGAATCTCGATGAGATATTTAGGCATTGCATTAAGCAGGTTGGGCACAATTCCCCTTTTCAGTAATTGTTACGCTAAAAGGGAATTGTTCCTCTTTTCAGTAATAAAAAATATTACTGTATACAGGAATTTTCACTCGTTTACCCTCAATTCTTGTGTTTGCTTTGAGTAAAAGATTAAGTGCAAGAATATTTTCACATCCTCTAAATATTTATAGTCTATTAATTAAGTGTATGTATGCTTAAAACTACATTGTACCACAGTTAGGTGTAGTTTCTTTTGTTAAAAGTCTGGGTTATCTGTACATAACTCACACTTTTCTGTAAATTCTGCTCATCAAAGATCAAAGCAGGACAAAAAAACTTTCAAGAACCAAGCCACATTTTTGACATTGAACAATCATCTGGACTAGCTACATACACCAAATTCAAGAGGAAAAAAATATAAATCATAGAAAGCATTAGACGATCATTATCAATTGGAAACTTGGATTTTAGACTTTGACTTTCATTAACAAATAAAAACAAGTGAAGAATCGTTTGATTAATGTTTTTTTCATTTTTTCAAAAAATATTCTCATGGCCAGTTAGCCTTTACCTTAGTATTGGTATTGATATCATTGGTATTTCTTAAATGATTCCAATATTGTCTATCTATAACCAACCAAAACATTTGGTACATAAAATTAAAAACATACTTGAATACTTAAATTCCTTTACATTAATTTTAAATGATTTAAATCATTATGAAAAAGTTGACCCTATGTGCACAAAGAACATTAGGTAAAAGGTAACAGTAAATACCAAGGACCAACCTAGGAGGCGACTGAGGCGAAATAGTCGCTTTTGAGCTCTAAGCTTCGCTGTAATTTATCACGAAAGAGAAGTTTAAGTCACCTTAACATTTGCACCCCCTTTATTAAAAATCATAAAAAAATCTCTTAAGAAACGTGGTAGTATCGTCACTATTTTAAAAATCTGGTTTTATTACTGCTGAAATAAGTGAAAGAGCAGGGCACTTGCATTTGTTTTGCTACTAATGACCAATGCATCGAATACTCTGTCGGAACTCCTCTAGATTTTACGCTTCCGTGTATAAAAAAGTCCATCATTACAAGTTATACACAACAAGACGCAAAACAGCTGGACAGCTATCGATGTCATGCCAAAGATGTTGGAGATGATTTTAGATCTTTTTATTGTCAAATAATTAAAACATGCTTTGAATACAGACATATTTTTACTGTTATATTGTGGAGTTATTAACTGTCTAAGAGTTACACATGTCTGATAAACATAAGTAGTTCAAACGGCATGCAGTTCTTTTTCGAAAAAGAATTTAATATTGAAAACGAATTTTGAAGAGAAAATAACAAAATTATGACTATGCCAAAAGCCTGAAAATCTAACCCTGAGAGGAGAGAAAAACGTGTGAATCATTTTAAAGTTAATTGTGCATACTATGCAAGAAATGAAAAAAAAGTTTGATAAATAAGTTTATCAATTAGAAACTTTTACATTGTCATTGTTTTATATATTTTGCTAGATATTTATATACCTTGTAATTGGAAAAATAAATTTTTTTTTTTAAAGAATACTTTTTCTCTTTTTTAATTATTTTTACTAGGATGTTTAAATAATACAAAAGAAATTATTGAAATGTATTTAAGTAATAAACAATGAAATGTTTTTATTTTTAAAAAGTTTAATAATGATCAATGTGCGCCACGCGCGCCGAGAAGTCTCCCTAGAATTCAAAACTTCTCCCTACATTTCTCTGAGGGAGAAGTGAAGTCTTCCTAAATTTTGGGTCTAGGTTGGTCCCTGAATACTGTAAAATAAAGAAATTAATTCAGTTTCAAAAGTGAATAATTTGATTTTGACATTTTAAATATAGGAAAAAAATCAGATCAACATACCTTATTGAAAACAAGCACATTTTTCAATAACACACGTCAGTTAAAATTGTAATGTAGTACATGTAAAAGACTTAGATATGATCAATTTTGGTAAACTATGGTACAAGTGACTTAACCCATATAATACTGTTGATTATGTGCAGATACCCGATAGCTGTGGTCATAATGACAACTCGGGAGCTACGCTCCCTCGTGTCATTACGACCAAGTCCATCGGGTATCTGCACATAACCAACAGTATTGTATGGGGTAACTACTACATACTTATCACTGCAAAAAGCTGAAATAGAGTGATGAAATATTTTTACGATATAGATTTCTTATGGAAGCTTACCTGTGTTAAACTTTTGAGAAAATTTTTGTATTAAATAGTGGTTCAAATGACTGGTAATGTTAAAAAACTCGGCTCTTTAATAATAATAGATTCAGTGACCTTTAACCTTGGTGATAGCTATCTCCTTTATTTCATTTTTTTAAAAATATTTCTTCTTACATATTTTACCTTATAATCATGCTGAAAAGTAGATTGATAAAACAGTCTAACAACAGTCTATTTTCTTCTTTTTTTTAAATTCAATTATCTTGATTACTTCAGGTGCTGTGCACTCAAAATTAAAGTCTGACACAAAACTATGAAGGGAGCAACACCAGAGTTGCTGTCCTTGTTGCAAAGAAAGCCAGAAAATATACGCAACATTTGTATCTTAGCACATGTTGACCACGGTAAGCAAACCACAGAATTTCTTTTAATAAGATTTTGATACCAGTTTTATTCTGCTAATGAACACCTATATTCTCATAGGGCTTTGAGTACTGACCTTAAAAGTAACAAAAAGTAACTATTATCAGAGTACATTGTATAAATATTCCATTAATTATTTTAATGTATTGTAAGATTCTTACCTATAATAAAATGATTGTTACTTGATGTACCGTAATTTTGGGGGTATAGGTCGATGGGGTATATAGGTCGAAAGGCTCATTTTCAGCCGTAATTTTTAAAAAATCCTTAGATAGGACGAATCCGGAAGATAAGACGAAGCTTTGTTTATCGATTTGCTAGAGATTCTTACGTATATACTACGTATCAGAACATGTAAACCTCTTTAATTTAACCCGTGATATTAACGTATTGAGAAAATAAACTGGTATTTTTATGAGTACAGCATTTTAATAGTGTTTTATACAAACATAGTTAAAATTTCCTTGAATTGTGATATAACGTATTTTCTCCAACTTGCCTATTCAATGCCGTCGTAGTTTGACTCTGTCCTTAAACACATAAATACGGTAGTATACAACAGCTATTATTAGGGAAATACCCGAAATCAACCAATAACCATTTCAATTTTAGAACATCTTGGACACATTCTTTTATTCCGACGTTGTTTACCGGGGTACAATATTAACTTCGATGACCGCCATTTTTATATTTCTTGTCCAGGGATTTGCTAAAACACGCAAATGATTATTACCAGTACATGTAACAGTGAGCAATTGAAATTAGTTATATTAACATGCTATAATTTTGCTTGAGATATTGCTGAAAAAATAAATTTAATTGAGAGTACATTCGCAATTTAACAGTCATTATGAATTTCACAGTTTTGTTTGTTCAATGATGTATAGCACTAATACCCCTGTAACGGCACGTGGATCTTTTAATCATGCCCCGCAGGTGTTTTAACCAACACAGGTGTTAACACCTTTGTGTACACAGTGTATATCCCTTTATCTGTCAGACAATTAAAATTCTATTAGAAGCCAATCTTTGTATAATTCAGTGTACCCCTTGGGATATAAAACAAAATAGTTATTACTAGCGGTATATTTGGTAAATAATTTTAGGAATTTACTGGCAACAATTTATTTCACGTATTTTACATTTAAATAAATATCACAAGACAATGAAAAAATATTTAGGTATACTATTTCAATTAATTGTTACAAATAAATGGAAAAAAAAAGATTACAACTGCGATTGTGAAAACGCTTCCGTATTTTAAACTTTGATACGATTGCGGTTTTATTTTTAGTAAGCGATTGCGACTTCCAACTTCACAAGATGGACACAGCATGTTGTAAATATACGTTGAGACATTATTTACTAGATGATATAATGTTTTTTTGTACATCGACGGATATTTAATGGAACTTATTTTGTAAGAAATCAATGGAAGATATTTAATTTTTTTATTGCTTAGTACTTTTTTCTCGGTAAATAATTTTAAAAAGTTACGAAAATGGCACAGATTTGTTTTGAAATTGACGTAAATTTCACTAATTTGGGGGGCATTTTTCATAAACTTGAGCCTTAGAAAGGTCGATTCGTTAAATTGGGCGACCCCAACGGTTCTGAGAAAAAAAGTATCGACCTATACCCCAAAACTTACGGTATATCTATACAGGCAAAACCACCCTGGCTGATGCTCTGGTGGCCAGCAATGGAATTATTTCACAGAGAATGGCAGGCAAGGTATGGGTTTATTGAAATAATACCTTCTTTCTTAACATATGGCTAAAATTTTGCATTTTAAGCACTTGCCCTTTTCTGCCTTGTGTACAAGAGAACCTTATAGGAAGGAAGCTTAAAGCCTCTTTGTTCAGAAACTTGAGATCTTGGGAGCTAGTAGCTCTAGTTTACACTAACAGTTAAGAATGTGTTATCGACTTATTTCAGAAAAAAAATGTTTTGAAATATATTGTTTTTTTAAGCTTAACTTTATCCTGTGTGGGATGTCTGTAATTTTATATGGTAAGAATTAAATTGTGGGATGTTTGTATGCTTATACTATGCTAAAAATTAAACTTAACCAAGTTTATTTTTGTTAAATTTCTTTACAAATACAAGTATATTGGACACTTTCAAATATGACCATTGAATGATTTATGATGGGAAGTATACTGTGCGATTTTTTTTTCATCAAAAATACCTGTATAACCAAATTACAGTAATTTTTCTCTAATATTGTACAGCATTCTATTAATAATGAACCAAAAAATTAATTACAGCTTCGTTACATGGACAGTCGAGAAGATGAACAATTACGGGGAATCACTATGAAATCCAGTGCCATTTCATTAATATACAATTATAGTAAGTTATTGTTTATATAGCTGTAGTAAAAGAATAGTTGGAATTTTATTCATTGCCATGAATGTGATTCAGTTATTAGTAAAGAGAGTAATTTATACGTCCATTTACTGTAGATCACTTAATTTTTGTGACACCTTATTTTCATGAAATTCTTGTTCAAATTGTTTTTTATAAGCAATACAAAATTTTCACAAATTTTGGTTATTGCTATATGTAATCTTTGATAATAGAATTATTTGTGAGAATGAAATTTTTATGAGCAGACAGTCACACATAAATACGTGAAAATACGTGAAAATAAAGTTCTTGTGATAAAAAAAGATTTACAGTACACAGTAAAGAAATTTTTAACGTTCATATTCCTCTGTGTACCAATACATATTTCACAGCATTAATAATGTCTTGTATCATGGAAATAAGTACTATACTCCCATTTCTATATTATGTGCTTTGCTCCTAGTTCATGTTACTAACAACAACATACACATAAATATCCAGGTCTACAGTACTTTATCTTAATAACTCCCATTTCTCTTTTGAGAAAATCTTTTAAGGTATTAACTAAGATACTTAAAAAAGGTTGAATAGAATTTCACTCATGTGCCTTCAAGGAAATATTTATATTTCACAAATCAGTTAGAATTCCTACCTGTTGATGTTTAGGATTCCTGATAATTTCAGAAAACGAGGAGTACCTAATTAACTTGATTGACTCCCCAGGACATGTAGACTTCTCCAGCGAGGTATCCACTGCTGTCCGACTCTGTGAAGGGGCTGTGGTTGTAGTGGACGTAGTGGAAGGTGTTTGTCCACAGGTACAGTTATATCCCTTGTTCAAGTTTGAATTAAGATTGAAACTTGTTGATGTGACTATAAGTAAAGGTATCGGAATGTAAAAGTGAAAAAGGTATACAAAGAATCTAAGAAACCAAATTATACAAGGAAAGCGAACTGTTTTGTTGAAATTTGATTAAATTTTACAAGATTATGTAGTCTGTCTTATTTCTCTTGTGACTTTTCATCTAGACTCATGCAGTGCTTCGTCAGGCTTTTCTGGAGAATATTAAGCCAGTGTTGGTTTTGAATAAGATTGATCGCCTGATTGTGGAAATGAAGATGGAACCCATGGAAGCTTTTTATCATCTTCAGCAAATTCTAGAACAGGTAAATATGACATGCAGAATTTGTCAACACAGTAAAACTTTTTAAAAATTGTCTTAGCAGAATGCTTTTGTTCTGAAATCTTGTCTGTAACTATGGAAATATTTAATCCATTATGGTAGATTCAACTTTTGTTTAACCCAGAATGCTGTCTTATCCAATAAATTTGACTGGAATTTACCTGTGTCGAGATTAGACTCGTTTTGGTGCATTTAATGCAATTCATCTTAAAAGAGTAGCAAATTTTGTAATTTTGTACCCATACTAAGCAACAAATGCAGATTTTCTATGTATGAATGTCATAATTTTTTTCCTTTCAAATTACGCATGAACTGAGACTTTTCTTTGGTCGTCTTAGGTAAACTTGGTGACAAATGAACTTTTCACTGTAGAGGCCATGGAGAAATCTGCTGTGGTAAGTCAGGATTTTATAAAATTCTCATTCATACCAGTACATGCATTTATAATTTAAGAAATTATTTTATACATTGATTCATTTGTGATTTACTACATTTCTCAATAGCTTAAGAGACCAGTGTAAATATCAATGATGATACATGCTGACAGATATTTTACTAGAGCTAAAAATGTGTGGTTATGACTTTGATAAGTTTTACTTTGGTAAGCTATCAAATATAACACAAGAAGTAAACTTTGGTAAATGAATTTGTTTTTCTTTCAGGATGTCGATGGTGACAATGGAGATTTATCACAGGTACTTAATTACTTTAAAAAAGTACAGTTTTGACAGATGCCTTGTAAATATTTATTCTACATTTACATTAATTAGTGTTTTTATTGAATAAATTAATTAAATTCCAGATGCATGACTGGACAAATTTAGAGGACGAAGAAAATAGAAACATCTACTTCTCCCCAGACCAGGGAAATGTTATTTTTGCCAGTGCATATGATGGCTGGGGTTTTAGGTTGGTAATGCCTGTTTCAGGGTATTTTACAATGAATATTTCTAATCTCCAATACCCGTGTACAAAAATTTCATACCTTATGGCTCTTTTTGTCATTGAGAATGGGCATTAATGAAGCTAGTAAAACTGAAACTATCCTGAATGCTATTGTTTTTTCCTTCATATTTGCAACAGCAAAAAAAATTGTTGGCCAAATTTGTTATGTTTACCGGGGATAATCTGAAACATTTCTTAACAGCATTCAGGATTTTGTAGTGCTGTATGCCAGTAAAGCCAGAATTAATCAGGAAGTACTATGTTTATTAAATATTTCAACAATTTGAGACATTTCTTTACAGCATTCAAGACTTCGCGGTGTTGTACGCCAGTAAGCTGGGGATCAATCAGGAAGTTCTACAGAGAACCCTGTGGGGAGATTTCTTTCTGAACACAAAAACAAAAAGAATCATGAAAGGGGCTCAGGTTGTAGATCTTGTTTATTCGTTAAAATAGGTTTTATTTGGTTTCATTTAAAAAAAATGTAAAAATTGATTATGTTTGACACAAAGTACATGTGTGACTTTTTTTTTCAACAAAAAGAAATTCATGTAGTCAATAAAGTCTACTGTGGAACCATTATACTTCATGGAGGTTCAATTTTTGTACACCACACCCAGGAATTTATATTGAATTATAGGTGTAGTCTTTTATAATGACATTAATTTGTACGTTAAATTCAGTCCTCTTAAACCTGTAAGGTATTAAGAATTCTCAAAGATTGGAGACAATGAATTAAATGATTCCACAGAAATATCTGAAAAAAAAAAAATGGAATTCCTGCACATGACCAATTCATTTAATGGATGTGGAGTAAAGTGCTTGACAATGGAATACATGCATATTACATTTCAGATTAAAGCCAAGAAGCCCCTCTTTGTGCAGTTTGTCCTTGATAACTTGTGGTCTGTGTATGACTCTATATTCATCAGAAGGTAAATGTAGATTTCTTGTGGATTGATAATTAAGTTTATTTCATTGTTATGAACTCTAGTTTATGACTTTCTTTCATCTTGTTAAGTTCTGTCATTTTAAAAACATTTTCTATAAAATTATGAACACAATCAGTTTTAACTTAATGCACTGATTAAGGTTGTTTCTGTTTTTTGATAGAGATAAGGAGAAGACAGAGAAGATAGTTACCTCCCTTGGTCTGAAGATTCCCCCTCGTGACATGCGACATTCGGACGGTCGGGTTCAGCTACAGGCTGTCTGTAGTCAATGGTTACCTGTTTCCAGTGCTGTACTCAGTAAGTGTCCTTGAAATTTGTTTATTTATTTTATTAGTTCCCTACTAGTGAATCCGGAGTGGAATATAAATTTTCTCCTTATCTGTCCATCCATAGCCTTCTGTTCGTCTGTCCCTCTGTCTCTCTGTCAGTCTGTCCCATGGTTTTCCATACTTTTTTCCTAAACACTTGCAGATATTGAACTAATATTTGATATTTACTTTGATGATTTTTGAATGAATTACAGGCTTTTTAATTTTTAAGGGGAACTCAGAATTCCCACTTGGTTTTCTGTACTTTTTTCCGAAACACTTGACAGTTTGTAAATATTGAGATGAATTTTGGTATGTGAGTGTTCTGTGAAGAAGTCACGTTTTGTTTCACTTAAATGATTTTTAACAGAATTTGCAGCCTTTTTTAAAGTTTTTATCAGGAACCAGATTACACTTGCCAGTAGGGGGCTAATATTGTTAATGCAATACTGTCAGAATGCTTGTTACTAGTAAAATTTATCCCAAAATTATTAGTTTTATCATGTTTTCATTTTTATTTCATATAATTGGTAATATTTAATGTAGTTTACATAATTATTTCAATTAATATATTTAATGATGCAAAAAGATTGATTTATTTTGAAGAATTTTTAATTGCAGGAGTTGTAGTCAGTAAACTCCCCTCTCCACTGGCTCTCTCAGAAGAAAGGGTGGAAAAACTGATGTGTTCCCAGATGAGAAAGTTTGACTCACTACCAGCAGAAACTCAGGGTCTTAAACAGTGTATGCACTTTTAGATAAACATTATTTGACCATAATTTCCTCATATTTACCTTTGAAAAATGAATTTGTCTATTAGTAAAGCAATAACAGGTGTATTAAATATTTGTCGCCAAATGGATGTATTGAGAAATGACAATACTGTACTTGTATGTTTAATGAAAGTATGGGGTACAGGTTATTTTTACTTTTTGATGCAAACTATGTATTTCATTCTTTACTTCACAGCATTTTTAAACTGCTCTGCCTCAGAAGAATCTCCTGTGATTGTGTTTGTCTCCAAAATGTTGCCAGTTGACAAGAAAATGCTCCCTCAAAACAAACAAAGGTAGATATTTAGTAGAGAATGATTATAGCCAATGCTACTTTAGAAAACAATTTATTTTCTCTGGATTTTCATAGATTTTACTTGCAAGTATGGGGGAATTTTTTTTTACTGAAAATACATGTATGATATTCTGCAGTACTGTATATTATAATGCTTCATTTTCAAAACAAGTCTAGAGTTTTACATTTTTCCCGTATTTGGATAGACCGTTAACAGAAGCAGAGATTGCCGAGAGACGACGAAAAGCCAAAGAGAAAATGGCAGAGAGAGCGGCAGCTAGAAATCAGGAGCAGACAACTGAGGCAGCAACTCAGGAAGGGGACACTAATGAAGGTTGTACATATTAGGGATTCTGAAATGTATAATCACATTTTAAACATCTGTCAATTTTAAATGTTCTTCTATTGCGTCTTGTTAATTTATAAGGACACCTTCCAAAAACACAGTTTACTATTTTTTGGAATGAACAGTAAGCAATGTATATGTAGAAGTACAAGTAATGTGATTTGTCTGTCAGGTCAGAATGTACATAATCATTTTTAAATCATAAGAATGACTTCCTTTACAGCCCTCAACCCCCTTCCCGAGGATGACCCAGAGAATAAAGAGAAGGAGACAGACTTTGTCTTTGTTGCATTTGCACGGGTATTTAGTGGCACCATCAGAAAGGGACAGAAACTGTATGTTCTGGGACCCAAACATGATCCAGCTCTGATATCCAAAAAGGTAGATTAAATTAAAGGTTATTCAATGGGATTTTAACTTCTTATGACCATATTTCTGTAATGTTCTGACCCATTTTAGCTGTAGGTTTAGTTATGGATGTTTTAATACAAATCAGAGAATCAGTTAAAATGGTGTGCCAAATTTGTAATATTTTTATTTGTTGACACTTTTCATCCTGTTACAGATACAAAGTGGTGAGGAAATAAAAGAAGTGAATAGCATTCAGGAGTTGTCACATGATGACCATGTGACCTGTGTCACTATCAAGGAACTGTTTGTATTCATGGGGAGGGAACTAGAGGGGATGGACCACATCCCAGCAGGGAACATACTGGGTTTGTATCAGAAATTACTTGTATTATTTAATTGATATTATACATTTATTGACTGGGTTCGAGGGCAACATGCGTTTTGTCGGACCCAAGAACCAAACTGTTTGGTTTCAGGGGTCAACAAAACGCATTTTGCCGGAGAACGCAGTCAATAAATGTTTTGTTAAACCTTTTATTTATTTATTTCATCATTATTATTTTTTGACATACATGTATGTCAAACACCAACGAATGCAAATGAGATTTAGCTGACCCTGCCTATTATGTGACGTAACCAGTCCAACATCTCATCGACAGGTCCAATATCTCACTCCGAGGTCAAACATTGATTTTTTTATGCCCACTCAGTAAAACATTAGAAATGTTAGACTTTTTTTTGTTTTGATTTATATAGGAACTAACTTCTAAAGGTATTACAATAATTAATATTAATAGTATTAAAATTTTTATGTAAGTCATGATTAAACTGTGTAGGCAAATATGCAAATTACTGAATTTCAAGATTACCTACATGTATTTTAAATTATATATTTGATTCATGCATTAAAGATTATGTGTTCGATTCATAATGAGAAGAAGAACATATTTTTTATTGATTTATCAAAATGAAAGCTTAATCAAGTTTTCTTTTACTCTTGTCTAGGAATTGGGGGTTTGGAGGATCATATTCTGAAATCAGCTACAGTGTCCAGTACCTTAATGTGTCCAGCTTTCTGTGATCTCTACTTTGATGCAGCTCCTATCGTCAGGGTGGCCATTGAGCCTAGTCACACTCGTGAGTATAAGTCACAGTGGCCTTTGAGCATACTCACTCTTGTGAGTATCTGTCAGGGTGACATTGAACCTAGTCACACTCATGAATATCTGTCAGGTGATTTTGAACCTAGTCACCACAGTATTCTGTCTGTCTTAAGTATCTTGAAGATTATTCATGTGGTATATACTTCAATATAACTGTCATTGAATTCATAGGAGACAAATACTGTAAAAATTATTAAATCTACTGATTTAAGTTATTTTTTCTCACTTTGACCAAGCTTTTCTGATTAAAGAGTGTTCTGTCATCTCTGCCCTTCTGTTGTGTTTTGGCTATACTTTTTACATTTTCATCCAAAATCACTAAGCCCACTTAAATCAAACTTGCAGCAAATCAGTCTTGGTGGAAGGGAATGCATATTGGGCTACATCCACTTTCACTGGGAAATAATTAAGAAATAATGAAAACCTGGTGATTTCATTCCAAAAAAAATCTTCTTCTCCAGTTGTAAAGGCCTGAAAAAGCAAAACTTATATGAAAGTCTCCAGACAAAGTGAAGATTCTAATCTGTTCAATTCATGGCACCCAAGGATAAGATGGGGCCACATGTTTTACATGGGAATATAAAGGAAAAATATTGAAACTTTTCTTAAGAACAGCATGGCCATTAATATTGATATAATATGCAAGCATCCTCTTTACTACAATATACCCCGGTAAGTCTAGGTGTGGGTGGGGGGATGTTAAACATTCAAAATTTCAGAATACATTCATGTCTGAGAAATTCATAATGACATCTAGTGGACAATGTGTTTGATCAATTATAATGTTGTATGAGCTCTCTGTCAACTTTGCAAATTTTTAAACTCCCAGGTGAAATCTTTTATCCAAGGACTTCTAGGAGATTTTTTTTTTTGGGGGGGGGGGGGGGGCATGATTCTGATAATTAAAATGCCCTAAGTTCCAAGTTGCAAATTTTGTGTTCGGAGTCCATGCATTAGGGCATCAGGTCTTAGGACAGTGTCCATATTTTCAGGCCAATTAATAATTAGTTTCAGCAAAATATTCTTAAGACTTCATTTCAAATTAAAGATGAAATATGTCAAGCAATGAAGATCTTTTAATATCTGCCACCTGATTTTTGCGAACCAGTTTTTGGTACTTAAAGCATGACAATATTTTCATGAATTTCAATTATTGATCTATATATTCTTTGATAATACAAAGATAAGTGAGAATGAAATTTTCATGAGCAGGCACCCATGCTTAATTACACGAAAATAAAGTTCTTGCAAGTAAAAACTGATTACAGTAATTTATTTTAGTAATTACTAAAGCCACTAGGTTTATGGTTTGTAGAAAAAGAAGAAAAAAGTTTTGGACAAGTTTATAACACAGCAACTTTAAAAAAAAAATTATGTGACAAAAGTTGGCTCGTCTTTTAATAGAGTATGTAGAAATAATTACAATACTGAGGTGATCAAGGCTCAATAGGAATCTTGCTTGCTCAATACTGATGTTAATTCACTGTTTTAATATCTAACATTAGTTTGAAAATACACATTGTTTTCATCCATGCAGTGTTTACTTTGTTTTTAATTTAGAAGTGTTTATAATTCCCTTCAGATATATATTGATAATGAATTATAAGACAAAAATTGAATATTCATTACAAGATTTCATTGTGTTACTGTAGCATACTGATACATCAGTAATTTTGCATACCCCTTATATAGAATATAACACAGAGATGTACATGTATACATGTAATTCACTGCAGATATTTGATTTTCTTCACTTGTTTGTTCCACAATTGAGCAACAAACAGATTGTCATTTGTATCTATACATAGACCCCAGGGTCGACTCAGTCCACAGTCTAAGTAACGGAGGAATTGTCCATCCTGGTCTATGATGTGGACACAGTAATTGTTAACATCAACTGTAAGGATGTGACTGACTGTCTGTGGTGATTCCTCGTGGATAGAATGGTGTGTTCTTTAGAGCAGCAGTATGTCCAGTGTACCTGAATCTCAGTTTCCCGGCCTGATTGACCACCACTACTGCTCCAGCTCTATCATCAGACACACAGATATCCAGGTTCTTGTTCTCAGTTATGTATCTGTTATAAAGAGAACGAGGTGAATAGAGAGGTTTACCTTTATCATCAAACTGAATGCTTTGTTTCTCTGTGGAGCCAGAGTAACAGACAACTTTTGTTTGTGTGTCATCATCACTGACCATGATAACCAGGAGGTCACCAGAGGAGGTAGTACAGACACCTTTAGGTTTCCAGTTCTGTAGTCTGATCACCTCCTCTATCTTCTCATTCTTCACAGTGTTCACAGTTCTATCTTTGTAATCAGTATAAACTAGATCTCCACTTTTCTTCACTGCTATGTCCAATGGTATTTTCCCTGACTTGGTTGTGATTGACTTGACTAGTGATCCCTGATTGATGCTGTATAGTTTCGTGGTGCTGTCATATCCACTTGTCCAGATTTCTTCATCACTCAGACAGACCACATTGTAAAGGTTGTCTCTATACCCAGTGTGTATGGTGGTGACAGTCTCTGGTTTATCAAGTAGCTGTTTGACTGGAGGAGAGGATCCAGTTTCTGGTGATTTCTGTGTTGTCTTCATGCTGTACCCATGTTTATCTGATATTAAGGAACTTGATGATAAGGCTCCAAACAGTTTACAAAGTTCTCCTTGGATTTTTCCAGGAGTGAATTTGGGTAAAGATGACATGATTTTGTGTGGAAGATTCCTATATAACAGTACATTAGATGTGATGCTTAATAGTTTTGACAAGTCATTACAGTCTATAGCAGTTTCAAATTTATTAATTTCATCCTTGATGTCAGAAATTTTCTGGTTTATTTCATCCAGATGTTTCTGTAGAGTTTGTAACTGTGTATTTTTCATCTCAGGAACTTCAGCTTTTAATTTCTTGACAAGTTTGTCAATTTCTCTGTGCCAGTCCTCTCCATGTTTTGTTATGGCTGTTGAGAGATCTCCATATTCCTTTTCTAATTGACTCATTCTGTTTTGTAGATCAGAGGCAATGTCCTGGTAGGTTGGATAAATTTTATCATTTAATTCATTGTGTTCTTGTTTAATAATTTCCATTTTTTCATTGAAAACTTCCAAGAATTTAGATAATTCATGACCTAAATGTTGATTAGATGTGAGACAGCTAAGACAGACAGGAATATCACATTTATTACAGTACATTTCACATTGTTCTTTGTCATGAGTTTTACATCCAGGGTAGATGGGAGTGGATTTTCTATCTTGGAAGTCAACAATTTTATGAGGTTTTGAAAGATCAGCAGAAAAATGTTTTCCAACACAAGCTGTACACAGGTTGACAAGACATGTATCACAGTGCATCTGTACCACAGCGGTCTCACACAGGTCGCATCGCATCAGGTCCTGGGCACTAGTACGGGGATCCATCATTAAATTTTTCTTGAAGCATATAAAGTTAAAATATTTTCTTAAGAATATTTACACAAGATAGAGACAGAGAATTTGGTTTGGTGATAGAGATAGACAAGTCACTTATGTTTACAATATTCATGTGAATCTTTGCATGAAAGAGGATTTAAGAAATAGATGAATTTCATTCCCCATTGCTGAAGCCTCATTAAAGGATTTTAACTTTTTAAAATGATCAAAAATGCTTAAGTTACCTCCTATATTTATTTCCTGACTTCAGTAATTATGGCCGTCCTGTCGATCAATCTCCAAGTGCAGTCTCTATGTACTCTGATCACAAGACACACCTGTGTTATCTACCTGTCAGGAGTTTATACTTCCTGGTCTAGATGGAGATTTAAATACCTTAAAAGCAGGATTGGTATTTATAAAGATTTATGAATGTAAATTTACTAAGAATACAGATTTTCAATTTTTATGCCCCCGTATCGAAGATTCGGGGGTATATAGTTTTTGCGCTGTCTGTCCGTCTGTCTGTCTGTTTGTCTGTCTGTTTGTCCGCAAAAACTTTAACCTTGCCCATAACTTTTGATTGGTTGGAGCTATGGCTTTCATATTTCACATGTGTATTCCTTGTGACAAGACCTTTCTTTGGGTACCACCATATTTGACCTTTTGACCTTGACCTTGGAGTTTGACCCAGTTTTGTAAAATTTTACCAAACTTTAACCTTGGCCATAACTTTTGAACAATTTGTGCTAGGGCTTTCATACTTCACGTGTGTAGTCCTTGCGACAAGGCCTTCCTTTGGATACCAACAACTTTGACCCTTTGACCTTGACCTTGGAGTTTGACCTACTTTTGGAAAAATTTAATCTTGACTATAACTTCTGAACGGTTGGTGCTAGGACTTTCATGTTTCACATGTGTAATCCTTGTGGTAGTACCTTCTTTAGGATGCCAACAACTTTGACCCTTTGACGTTGACCTTAGAGTTTTACCTGCATTTGGAAAACTTTAGCCTTGGCCATAATTTTTGAACGGTTGGAGCTAGGGCTTTCATACTTCACATGTGTAATCCTTGTGACAAGACCTCTCTTTGGATCCAACAACTTTGACCCTTTGACCTTTGAGTTTTACCTACTTTTGGAAAACTTTAACCTTGGTTATAACTTTTGAACGATTGGTGCTTCAGCTTTCATATTTCACCTGTGTATTTCTTGGGAGAAGGCCTTTCCTTGGGCACCATTAATTTTGACCATTTGACGTTGACCTTGATGTTTGACATACTTTTGAAAAAACTTTAACCTTTTCCATATCTATTCAATAATTGCTGCTAGGTCTTTCATATTTGACAGGTTTATTTCTCGAGACTAGACCTTACTTTAGGTACCAACTTATTTGATTTGCATTTGAGAAAGTTTAACCTTTGCTATAAGTTGCCATACGGGGGCATCAGTGTTTCACAAACATATCTTGTTGCCAGACTAATATTCCACTGCTTATTAATTTAAGAAACAAAATATTATTTTAAAACTTATATTCAGATGTAAACATAGTTGCATGGTCATGTGATCAAATCATATAAAGCCCAAAGGGCTTTATGGAAGATTTAATTAATTGTGTACCAACCCCTATTTACATACCGATAAATGTTCAGAAATGATACCTTATTACTTCCAATTGATAGTAATTGAAGTTTACATTTATGACTGATTTGAAATAATTTTAAAGCTATATATGGCTAAAAAATAAAAATGTGAGATTGAGTATTGATAAAAATGATATATGTTATATCCGTTCAAATTAAAATTTTCACCGATTTTGAGATTAAATAACCTCTTGTTTCCATAGTTAAATAGACTTCAAACTGTGTCTGTTATTTAAATGCAGAGTCAGTAAATAAGGTGGTTATGGTTTAAAATTTCTAATATCTTTCAAATGTGATTGATATAAATTGTGTAATTTACAGGAAAGTCCTATATTTACATAAAGTAATAAAACAAATAGAAAGATCTTTAGTGTATACAATGGTGTACATCAACTGTGTTGAATATGTCGACCACTTGTGACGTCACTGTGAAATTATGTCTATTGTTTATGAATAAACAATGAATTTATGGTCATGTGACCAACCTGTTTATATACAGGCTTAAAAATGTCTCATCATTCAAAGAGTGTCATATAAGGGAAAACATTTGTAAATGTAAAAATATACATACATACGAGGGTTGTTCGAAAAGTTCGTGGACTGATGCGATAAAATCAATACTATGTAGTCTATGCTTACAAAATTTTTAATGAACATAAAACAACAAAAGTTAAAGAGATGTTAAAATTTTTACCTTGATACCTTAAATATTTTACCAAATTATCATAAAATAAAAAAGACATTATATGATCACCCGGCGCTGTCGCCATTTAGTTTCATGACGTCATTGTTTTTCAATGTACACATTCTCTACCTCATACACTTATCTTGATGGGTTTCCTGGGAGTTTAGTAAAGATTTAAACCCGTCTTGTTTATATGATTTTACAATGTCATAAACAGTTGATTTTAATACATATAATATTGTTAGTAAATAGATCTGAAAGATCCTCACTTGATTGTAACAGCATATTTGCTTGTCGGAGTTCAACATCTATCACACATGATCAACGTCACTTTTCGACGTGACAAACTTTGAACACCCTTACTACAAATCGACATTCACTTTTACATCTCTCGTCCCTCTAATCTTTTTCGGCATTTAAAAACAAGTACTCTGAATGCATTTTATTTTTCAGTAGCCCATTTAAATATTTCCTAGGTCTATGCCATTTTTTTCAGAGGGTGAAACTTTATAGAATGTTGGAAAAAGAAACCCACCCCCATTTCTGACGTCATTACAACCCCATAATTGTTTGGACATTTCATATAAATTTTACGATAAAATTTCATAGAACTTATAGAATAGGGTAAAAATTGCAAATTTTACTGTACAATTGTCATACCATATGAGTGAATTAACGGGATTTTTGAATGACGAATGCTCATATCAAAAAAGAGTTTTTTCTAAGTTACTTACGTAGAAAAAACATAATCGACGAGGTTGCGCCGCCTGGGCATACCATTGCTTTCAAAAACATCAACAACTTATTAAAAAACAAAACTAATGATGTATAGTTTATTATATAAATAAAAAAGAAGATGCTGATTAAACTTTAAAAAATTCATTGATGTATCTTAAGCGGTTTTAATTTTATGGCGCTAGTCCACGAACTTTCCGAACAACCCTCGTATATATATATATATATATATATATATATATATATATATATATATATATATATATATATATATATATATATGTATGTATATATATATATATATATATATATATATATATATATATATATATATATATATATATATATATATATATATATATATATATTGCATAAAAAATTTGAAAGGTTTTTGTTGTTGACTTCTTCACTTTTTCAAAGAAAATATAGAAATGTCACAAATTAAGAAGCTCTGTTTAAAATTGCAAAAATGGGTTTTGAATTAAGATGGGATAGATTGAACAATAATTGTTCCTGAACTTATTTATTGACACTAGCTTGGGATAAGGTTTTGAAATGGTTGTGTGTGTTTGTTTTGGAATCTGTAAAATCATGTTACATTCTGTGGTCAGTTTTCATGGTTACTGTATACAGGGAAATTTTTGCCCCCATTTTATTTTCGCCCCTTTTGCCTTACTCACAGGTGGGCGAATTTAAAATGGAACGAATTCAAAGAATGCAGTATATTTTCTTAAACAGAATTGTAACTGGGCAAATTTTATACGGGGCAGAATTGTTTGGTTTTGTGAAAAATAACCCTATATACAGTATTTGTGTGTGTATGGTACTCATCAGGGGTCCATTTTATGTATTAGTCAATCTCTTTCAATTCCATTTAATTTTAATTTTGATTTATTGATCAGATCAAATCATATTAAATTCTTAGGGCAAATTTTATGATAATTTTTTTTGTGTATATGGTATTTTTAACAGACTTACTCATCCCCCCTTCCCACAGAGAAGTATATCATACAAAAGATATTTCCCTAGTATCTGAGTGGAAAATTAGGTACAGTACTAAAAAAGAGGCCTTTACCTGATTTAATTAGCAGAGATATAAGTAACCAATGGAGTTTTTAGCTCCCCTGAGCCAAAGGTTCAGGTGAACTTATTTGATCAAAGAGTGTCTGGCATCCATTTTTAGCTCACCTCAACAAAGTTGGGGGAGCTTATGTAATACCCTTGGCGTCGGCGTCCCAGGTTAAGGTTTTTGGAGCAGTTTTCTTTTCAAGTACTTCTATGGCCTATATTAGTCAGAGATGCATGGAGGATGCTTCTAGTGTGTTTCATTGTACCAGTCAAGGTTTCAGAGGCTGCAAATTCAGCTAAAGAATGACCAGGTTAATGTTTTTGGAGCAGGTTAAAGTTTTGGAGCAGGTTAAAGTTTTTGGAGCAGGTCTCATTTCCAAGTAACTATAAGCCTATATTGACTAAACTTACATGGATGATACATCTAAGGATGCACACTACTGGACTGGATCTGACCTACATTTTCCGGATGAGTGACCAGGTTGAAGTTTTTGGAGCAGATGTCATTTCCAAGTAACTATAAACCCTATATTGACCAAACTTGCATGGATGATACATCTAGGGATTCACACTACTGAACTTGCTTCAGATGCTGGATCTGACCTACATTTTCCGGATGAGTAACCAGGTTAAAGTTTTTGGAGTAGATCTCATTTCCAAGTAACTATAAGCCCTATCTGAACCAAACTTGCATGGATGATGCATCAAAGGATGCACACTACTGGACTTGCTACGGATGCTGGATCTGACCTACATTTCCGGATGAGTAACCAGGTTAAAGTTTTAGGAGCAGATCTCATTTCCAAGTAACTATAAGGCCTATATTGACCAAACTTGCATGGATGATACATCTAAGGATGCACACTACTGAACTTGCTTCGGATGCTGGATCTGACCTACATTTTCCGGATGAGTGGCTAGGTTAAAGTTTTCAGATAAGTCTATTCCCAAGTAACTGCAAGCCCTATCAGACCAAAGTTGCATAAATGTTGCATCTAGGGATGCACACTCCAAGGTTATTAGTTGAGTGTGGGACTTTGCCTTACTTAAAGACAACATTCGTTGAGGTGAGCTCTGTAATCTCTGATTACCTATGTTCTTTCTTCAAATTATGGCACCTAAGATTTAGGTAGTGCTAACATCTGGAATAAATTTTTTCCTATTGTACATATATATACATGTATATGGGGAGAAAAAAATTCTTTTTCTCCAGAACAGCAAGGTCATATTAGTCCTATTGATATTAAAGTATCCTCATAATTTGTAAACTCAAAATTGGTCATGTCATGACTGCTTGGGGCTGAAATTGTTCCACAGTAGGGGTTTAATTGACAGACGGACAGTAAGATCACCGTAGGGCACTTGCATGTTAATGCTGACCACATTTAAATGAAATATACTTTGAGCAGAAAGATTAAAATTTGTAGTTCATAAATGTTAATTTTAAGTATTAAATTTCATAAATTTTTCATGTAAACAAAGAAGGAAAATATCTTATTCTGAAAAACAGCAGGGCCAAAGTGAATCATGTGATCATTCTGGCCCGTGGGTCTCTTGTTTTTAATTCCAGGTGACATGCAGAATCTAGTGGAGGGTCTGAGATTGTTGAACCAGGCTGACCCATGTGTTCAGGTTCTGGTTCAGGAGACAGGTGAACACGTGATCATTACAGCAGGAGAGGTTCATCTACAGAGATGTGTGGATGACCTTAGAGAAAGGTTAGATAACTGCATTGACAAAGTGACCTTCATCTGTCTCAATGTCTGTTTGTCTGTAGACAATAAAGTTTGAATATGGTGATTCATCGCTGAGAAGATTTTGCATTTATGCGAGTCATGATTTCTTAAGTGCGTTTGAGCTTGTTTTGACTGACAGTACATTTGTTCCTTTTTCTTTAGATATGCCAAGATCGATATCAATGTGTCTTCACCTATTGTCCCATTTAGAGAAACTATTGTCCCTCCACCAAAAACAGACATGGTGAATGAAACCATCTCAGACCAACGTCAGGTCATTAAGAAAGATACTGAAGACGATGAAATCATTGAGCCAGGGTTAGTTGAGGTCAACACGATCAATGGGAGGTGTACCCTCAGGATCAGGGCGGTGCCCCTACCGGAGAATATCACACAACTACTGGAGGAGAATCAGAATTTGATAAAGACAATGTCTCAGATCTCAAAGGCTCACGGAAAGGGGAGGGGGGGTCTGGAAGTCCAGCAATCTGTGATAGACTCTATCAGAGAATTCAGATGTCAACTCTGTAAAGTTTTCAAGACCTCTGGAAGGATATGGAGGGATGCAGAAAATCAGATATGGTCGTTTGGACCTAAGAGAGTTGGACCAAATGTACTACTCAATCGTGTGAGGGGATATGACAGAGCTAATGTGTGGAACTGTGTTGAACAGAAACAGTGGGAGCTGAAGCTTAGACAGTATGATAACAGCATAATCAGTGGATTTCAAATCGCCACCCTCGCTGGGCCTCTTTGTGAGGAGCCCTTAAGAGGGGTATGTTTCATTATTGAGGAATGGAACTATATTAGGAGTAGTCACTCAATTTCTCTTGATGAAGAAGTCCATAAAGGGGAGGTTACTGAGATCAATTCCTGTGATAATCCTACTTCAGTCAGCCAGGCTGAAACTGTGTCCCCTATTCAGAGTGAAACTGACAGAGATGGCAGTGAGTCTGAGACTGAGTCATCTGACAGTGAGATTGAGCCATCTCAACCGAGACAGAAGGAGGGGCACAGTCACATGTCAGGTCAGCTGATTTACTGTGTGAAGGAGGGCTGTCGTAAAGCATTCCAGACCCGACCTCAGAGACTGATGGTAGCTATGTATAAGTGTAATATACAAGCTACTGCTGAAGTCTTAGGTAGGTGAAATATAATCAGAGCATAAACTTATTTTTGTAGGGGACTTTCTTCTGGATACATGTATCTGTAAATGGGGGGAGGGGGGTGTCCTAGGAAAGCACTTTGGCTGAATTGATGAGTTCTGATTCAGCAGTTCTCTTTTCTATTTGCTTTGGAAAACTGTATGGTGTTCTAGGGAATCAGTTTTGCTGAGTTACTGAGCTGTAATTCAGTAGTTCTGTTATTTACCAGGTATTTGCTGTACAAAAACTGAGAGGTGTTCTAGGGAAGCAGTTTGATCAATTTATTCAGTTCTAGCTAATTCAGTTGTTCTGTTATTTATTTGCTGTAGGAAAACTGTTAGGTGTCCCTGGGAAGCGTTTCAGCCAAGTTATTGAGTTCTAATTCAGTATATCTATTTTTTTCATTGTAGGAAAACTGTGTGGTGTCCTCGGGAAGCGATTCGGTCGAGTTATTGAGGACACAATGATGGAGGGATCTCAGAACTTTAACATTAAGGCTGTGTTGCCTGTGGTGGAAAGTTTTGGATTTGCTGAGGACGTGAGGAAGAAGACGAGTGGTTTGGCCAGTCCTCAACTGGTATTCAGCCATTGGGAGGTCGGTATATCCATGTCTATGTAGCTTATATATATAAATACAGTTGAACTTTGGTATCTCGAACACAGATATCTTCAATGCCCTGGATATGTCGAAGTGATTGGGAAGTCTTAACCACATATTTCTGAAGTATTTTACCCTTGATATCTCGAACCCTAGGATATCTCAAAGTTTTTTCCTTGGTCCCATAGAGTTTGAGATAACGAGGTTTGACTGTATGTCTTTTGTATGGCACAAGTGTTTCAGCTTAATAATTGTGCATTTAGTCCTTTATGAATGTATAAGTGTATTATTCATTCATCATATTTATAAATATATCTTAACAATGTTTATAAGAGGAATTCTGGACAAACAGCAGATTGCAATTATATTACTTTTTGAAATAGATTGAAAAGTATTTAGTTTCCACCCTTGAGACCATCACAGTAGCTCAGTCGATAGAGCGCTCGCTTGGTGATCGGAAGGTCGTGAGTTCAAATCACAGCTGCGACTGACCTAAGTCGATAAAAAAATAGGTAGCAACTGTTCTTTCGCTATGCGCTCGGCTTTTTGAATGAAAATTGCGGGTCCTTCGGATGAGACCTTAAAACCGAGGCCCCGTGTCATAGTATGCATTGGCACGATATAGAACCCTCACTGTTCAATGGCCCTGAGTGCCGAGTATAGGTCTAAATTTGAAACCCTTCACCGGTATATGGTGATGTCTCTATATGAGTGAAAAATTCTCAAACGGGATGTAAAACAACATACAATCAATCAATTCACCCTTGAGTCTGGAATATGATTTAATATTTTAAAAGTAACTATTGCAGCAATTCTTAACAAATATCTTATTACCTTTATAAATTCAGTCCTTAAGAAATCTAATCTTCTGGAAAAAAAATTTAACAGGTGTTGGATGTTGACCCTTTCTGGGTGCCCACCACAGAGGAGGAATACACTCATTTTGGAGAAAAGGCGGACTCTGACAACAGAGCCAGACATTATATGAACCAGGTCCGAAAACGGAAGGGACTCAAAGTGGATGAGAAAATAGTGGAGCATGCTGAAAAGCAAAGGACACTCACTAAAATGAAATAAATCATGTTTTGTTAAATTAAATTTTAAGCATGTCTGTGTTGTTTGAAATAAATTGTTAAACTGTTTTAGTCTTGTTTGTGCCATTTCATTATTTTGGGGTGTAATTTTAATATTTTCTGTACAAACCTCACTCTTCACATGGAAATATCCATATTTTACATTTCTAACTCAAATGGACTTAAAAATCTATATGTATACAGTTCCTAGACCTTCAGGTTCAGGTGAACTTAAAATGTCTATTTGTATACATTTTATGTTCCCCTGAACCAGAATCCTCTAGATGTGAGCTTTTTTCTGATGAAAGTTTATCTACCATTATACATATACATGCTTATACATATATATGCATACTAGTCTGTTGGGATGTTTTTGGGTTATAGGCATATTCATTTCAAACTGTTTGGCATTTTCTGGTCTTCACCAGAAAATCAGGCCAATTTCGGTCAAATTTGAAGAGAAGCTGGGTGAAGTAGAAATAATTAAAAGTTCAAAGACATTGATGACCAAAGAATGGAAAAATAATTTATTTAAAAAGTTATAAAAAAAACTTAAGATAATGTGTTGTTATTTAAAACTATTATTCTGCTGAATTAGAAAGGACAACACTTCTCCATGAACTGCAGATTTGGTACTAAATATACTAAAATTAAAGCAAGCATTCCCTTTGCGATGCAGATTGGAATTAAGTATGTGTTTTTACTTGCACTGATGAGCTTTAAAGCATAAAATTAAAAAGGAACTGAACTGTAGTGATGAATTCTTGGGGTTATGTTAGGAAAACAAATAGGAATGAAAGGTTTTTAGGTGTTAGTTCTACATAAAATTTTGAATAATTGATTGAAAAAGTACATTTAAAGATTATCATCCCTTCATAAAAATAAACATGCATTTAACCTAGCTTGAAAGGTTAATTTTATAAAGATGAAAATCAACCAAATAACAATTTTAAGAAATGGAATAATGACTGGGTTGTCAAACTCTAGTAATACCTTAAAGGATCATGTTTCCATCTGATTATATCCATTTATTAACTTCATTCAAAAATTTGCAAGTTATATCTCTGTAAAGTATTAAGTGACTGTGTAATTTAACTTGTCCAAACAAGGCCTGTACATGCCCTAGACACTCTAAATTAAAACAGATTTTTATTTAGAGAGTCACTGTTGATTTGTTTACTCATCAGTAAACCCCACCATGCAGTTAATGGATAACAAAACAAGCTGTTATTGTATAATGTCAGTGTCACAACCTTTAGTTATACCTGATGGTGACCACCTGCAACGCACATACCATTCTGCCTTTAACAAGTGATAAGAGAGACAAGCAGCACTGATTCGCTGGTCTGACTGGTTAGTTCTCAAGGTCGTTAAATGTCCGTCACTCCATTGACTTTAATTTACATTTTAGGTCCTTATGTTGGCCAGATTTTATCTTGATACCTTTCAATTTAGTTGCTAATTCAAGAACACCAATATATGATAATTTATATAGAAATGTTGATGGGCGTGAATCCATGATAGTGCCAAAGAATGCATGATCTGTATATGGTACGTCGATCTGCATTAATAATTGTGCTGAATTCTGAATTGAATATTTTAGAGATATTACAACAACTGTACAGTATGATCTTGAAAAGCTGCTTTTTTCTTCTGCATAATTAATAAATAAGCTTGTAGCTAAGAGTAATTAACCTCAGACTGACCTATGTACATGTATAAGCAGACTTAATTTACTGAATACTCATGGCTAACTTATTGATCTATTGAGGCTAAATTACTGAAAATGTTACATTTCAAGGAGATAGTGTTTTTCTTCCTTGCAAGAATATTTAATGTCAGGCTCTTCCATGAGAACTTGTTTATTTATGGATTTAGAGTGATCTGCCCTTAGATGTAAGCTACATACAATCTGTAATAGCTAGGGCCTATTCCTCCATGTAATATTATTTTAGACCAAGATAAAGTAATGAGATACATTACTTGCATGTACTTCCCCATGAAAGTAAATAAGTGAGTTATTTTCACTTCAATCATTGTCTAATTTGGACAATCCTGAGGAAATTTAAGTCATGACAATTAAGTACCCTATATGTTGAAAATGAACTAGATAATCACAATATGTATAAAATTTTCCTCATGTCCAAAGAACATTTTTCATTAATAATTTATTTTAGACAAAGAATTTACTACCACGTAAATAAAAGACTACATATACTGTAACTGTTTAGACTGTGAGTTTTAGTGAGGCCTGAAATTGGGTGCAGCAATTTAAGCCAGCAGATAATTCAAATGCTGTGAGTACAATAAAATTATGAATGTCTCTAGCTAACATACATACCCAGTATACATGCACATGTTTATAGTAACTCCCATAGTTTTTTTTTATATGATTTTTATCCAACATCTGTGTTTTCTATCATTTCAACATGCAAGATAATTATGTTGACATATGCAAGTCACCAATATTTTTAGAAAATCTGATGTAAACATGGGTAAATTTACTTTCTAATACCTGAGTATCTGATATCAAACAAGCAAGATAATTATGTTTACATGCAGCTTCTTTATGTCAACATGCAAGATAATTATATGTAGACATGCAACTTAAATATGTATCCATGTGAGATAATTATTGAAACATGCAACATACTTATGTTGACATGCAACTTTTATATGTCAACATGTGACTTATTTGTTAACATGCAAGATAATTATGATGACATGCAAATTAATTATCTAAGTCGCATGTTGACATTTATAAATAAGTTGCATGTTAACATAATTATCCAACACAATGACATAACGAAGTTGCATGTCAATATAATTATCTCACATGGTGACATAAATAAGTTTCACGTCAACATAATTATCTTGGATGTTGACAGAAATAGGTCACTCAAAATATTATCATGCAAACTGACATACCTAATTAACTCGCATGTTGACAAGAATAAGTCCCATGTCAACATAAATATTGTCTCATGTCAACATAAGTATGTTTCATGTTTACATAATTATCTTGCATGTTGACATATATACACTGTACAATCATATTGCTACATAATTATCTTACATGTTGACATTAATAAGTTGCATGTCAACATAATTATTTTGCATCTTGCATGCATGATGTACGTCAGATACTTGTGTTAGAAAGTAAATTTATATACCCATGTTTAAATCTGATTCTCTTAAAATATATCGGACTTGCATGCTCACATGATGATATTGCATCTTGATATAATTATCTTACATGTTGACATACTTTTCTCATATGCAGACATAAAATATCTTGCATTAAGGGGGCAGAAATATGCCATGCACCATTGTATAGAGACAATGCAAACCTATACATACATGCTATTTCACTCTAGCTGTTTTCAATTGTGTCAAAAGAGAGATAACTCTTGTCTGTTAAATTCACCCTTTTCCAATATGTAAATTTAGTGAATGAAAAGGGCAAAAATAAAATTGACAAAATTGAAAAAAATTGCCCTGTATACAATACATAAAAACAATTCTGCTTCTTGGGTATCACTACAAAGTATTGGATTTTTCTCTTCTTACATGTACTGGTCTACACTGTTAATCCTTATATAAATAAATTAACAAAACTCAACGATAAAATATAGCGACATATTTATTGCATCACATTTTGGAAAACACAGTTTTGATGTGATTGAATTGAACACATTAGCTCTTGAACCTGGTGATTTTTTTTTTTACAATATGATAAAGTGATTCCGAACAGAATCTGTAGCTAAACACTTGCAGAAAAAGTCCCCTTACTCTGGAAATTCTCAGGTTAAAAAAAGAGCAAAACACAATATTTTACTGGAAGCACATACATTCCAAAATACATTCATATCAAAATATGTGAAATGTATAAACAATGACAAGATGTAAAACTGGACATAAGGTGGATTTCATAATATACATTATGTATGTACACATACACTTTGTAATACTAGTTTTCAATTGACATTCATGAGAAAAAAATTCTTATTAAACTATAAAGAACAATACACTTATCATATATAATACACTTAGTCTAGTATAAATGCCCTCTAAGGTGGGTAAAGTAAATGCTACACTTGATCGAAACTTATAATAATGCAATATAAAAATAATAATGTACTGTAATGTAATATGATGCTCTGCTTCAAATTTTCCAAAAAAAAAAAAAAAAAAAAAAATCCATAGGTGCTGCCCATCTTATTTGGTAAATGAATTAAGGAATAACTGTTTAATTTTTTGGTTTCATGATGTGATCAAGCAATTGGCTTGCATGATAATTTGCATAAATGCCTATGGCGTTTATGCATAAATTATCACGCAAGCCAATTGCTTCATCACATCATGACACTAAAAAATCTGACAGTTATTCCTTATATTTTTTACATGCACTTGATTCTGTAAATTCACATGCTACAAGCCCCACCTACTTCTGTCTCTTTCTGTCCCGCCCAGCACATAACTATCAATGAACCAGTAGCTTTACGTAGAAATCAAGTATTTTTACCATTTGTAGTTATATCTTGGACAAAAAAAATTTAAAATGTAAATATTAAATGATAAGTCTATATATAAGTTTACCCCTCTTTACTATAAAAATCAATGTTGATTTTTAGTCTAGAGGGGTAGTCCTAAAAAGATATCTTTTTGTCATTTAAAAAAAATTAGATGGGCAGTATCTTTGATTAAAAAAATGTAAAGAATAATTGAGAGAATTTAATAAATAAAGAAACTGTTTTTTGACATTAAGAGAGTAGAGCAAGCCTTGATCCACATTCTTTAAGTATAAAAGTTTTGGGAATATATATCTGGCAACAGATGACCCTGCGAGATAAGTACACTATATGTAAATTTACAATGTTTGTAAATCAAAGTTGCTTTTTAAAATAGGTGGGGGAAGTTTGGCAGTTTTAATACAACATCACACAATCTAACAATGGTTTAATACTATTGTCAGGTACATCAAACGAAAAATGATCAGCGTTATAATGCATTTTACAGAACGTGAGACATTTTTATTTATTGGGCGCCTATATAGTGCAAGAACATGT